TCAAAGAAAGGATACATATATATTAAGTAGCTTGGAATATTATGCTTTTACAAGATATTCCCATATATATTGGTGTAGAGCCCGTGCATGCAAACTAACTTTTTGTTGAAAGCCTAGCTATGTCGATTATGAGGGAGACCCACAAGAAGTCCTGATTATGGTTTTCTTTAATTTTCCTTTGTCCACTTTATTCTTTGAAGATTTTTTTTGGTAGGCACTGAAAAATAAATTATTGAAAAGTTTTTTTTCAGTCATTAAATTTACATCTAAAACTGTTTATTCAGTATATATATTTTTTAATTTAATGTAATTTTTTTTATTAAATTTAATGGTTAGAAGTTGATTCTATCGCTAGAGTGACTATTATAAAAATAACTTTATTTCTTTGAGGGGTTGTTGGATCAGTACGAAAAAAATGAAGATATAGCTATGATGTTCATCACATTTATATAATAGCAATATCTCTAAATATGTACACAATTCTATGAATGAAGAAAATTGTCTCATTCGCCTTGATGACGATGATATTGGTGATGATGTTGTTGCAAAAAAGGGTCCCTTGTATATAGCTGGTTTGGGTGTTTTCTTTTTTTTTTTTCCAAGAATATATGCCTACATATTGCCACATTGCATTGTTGTTGGCACTAGGCAATGATGATCATGGTAGATCTTGATTATATAATGAGTGCATAAAAATTATATACTAATTAAGCACAACATCTAATTTCAAAATTATGTTGTATGTAATGCATTCATGATCTTTGATTGCTCTCAAGAAATGAGCATTAAGCTAAAATATTATTAGTTTTGTTGTTAGTGTACTCGTACACATCATTTCACGAAAGCCATTTTTCTTTAGAGGACTAAGATACGAGAGACTATTAGTTTTGTTGTTGAATGTGAACTCAACAACGTGAATGTATATTAAGATTGCCAGTTATATTTTGGAAATAGAAAAAAAAAGGAGTTTCTCCGATTGATCAGAAAAAATGAATTATTGATAATTTTAAATTTTTGGTTGTTAGATTTGTATTAAAAATGGTCTGTTTTACATATTTTTATCCGATTCTACAAAATGTTTTAATCATCTTACGAGTTTAGAGTTGTAGCAATAAAGGTCATATGATGAGAAAATCCTAGGTTTTTCTAATTGACGGCTTCTTTTTTACATTTGATTTTTATTTTTCTCTGTTATGCTTATACTTTAGTTTTATAAAACCGTTTTTCTTTTTTGTTTGATAAAGTTTTAATTATTTTAAAAAAATGGAGTCCTATTGTTCCACGTAGTTAATTTTGTGCTCCATACTTGTGTTACAACTACACACACGGAATAATTACAAATAAATAAATAAATAAAACTACACACACGGAATCTCACCTGAATAAAAAAAGCTACCTATTAACACATGTAGATTGTTTCTTGATCAAACAAGTTAATATTATTTTGCTTTTTTTTTTTTTTTTTTTGGATGAAAAATCTTGTTTTGCTTTTACTAGCAAGTTTTCCTTATCAACTTGTACTCAACTTCTTTTACGTCGCAAGCATGGAAAATTAAGGTTTTGATTGATTCTACTTGAAGTTTTCTTTGCAGGAACAAACACTGAAGTGAGAGTACCACTACTATACGGCACTTAGAGAAACTGATCTTTTACTTGAAAGCATCTATAACACAAAAAGGGTTATATACTTTTGAAAAAAGTTAAAAAAAGACGAGTCAAAAAGTGATTTTTATTTGTATTTGCATATATAAAAGGAGACAAACAAAAGGATTAAAAAGAAGGAGACAACGCGTGTTATTCTGCCTAGTGGGATTAATCCTCAAACTTCTCTTTGTCTAGTACTTTCAGAAACACCAAATAATCTAACGTTTTTTCTTCTCTCTCTTTCTTTTTTTTTTTTTTTTTGGCTAATCAAAAAATCCAACTTGAGAAATACCAAAAAAAAAAAAAAAGAACCTATATTTATGAAAAGTGGGGGTGAAAACTATTAAGGAATAAAGAGATTTTTATTTTTGTTGTCTATCATACTAAGATACTCTAGTAAAAAATAATAACAATCATTATATCATTTAACATGCTCATAAGTCATAATACAATCTATAAAAATTAATAACATGTCGCTTAGCAATTAATATGTTGCAAGAGTCTTAGCCCAAAATAGTAGTGCTAGCAAGTAGTCAAGAAAAATACACCATTTTCCCTATCAATGAGATACTTTTAATTTTAAAACAGGGCAATCCGGAAAACTCAAGTGGGATAATCAATTTAAAAGAAGAAGAATAAGAAAAGAAAGAAACTAATCCAAATTCGCCTCCCCAATACTTTTTGATGTTGAATTGCTTAGTATAATACTCATTTAATATTTAAAAGATTCCTGTCAGATTCATAAATCATTTATGTTAGATTTTTTTTTCCCTTAAATTTTGGCCATGAACTGGAGTGAGAACCTTCAATGAAACCTCTGAAAATATTAATAATTCTCTTTATTGTTACCAATAATGTAAGACTAAGATGTGATAAAACAAAGTCAAAAAAGAAAACTTTCATATGCAAACCAAGAAGGAATAAAGCACTGAAAGAGAAGGGAGTTTCAGTGTCACACTGCAGCTTGGACCACACCAAAGGATCATGAGACATGCCCAAGAAAAGCACAACAATTGGACGTGTGAAAACAAAAAGATGAACAGGTCCAACCACATTCAACCACGTGGCTAATCACATGTTCCCCACATCAAAGTAATAAAATCTTATTATGGAAACATCACAATACCAAAATTTGTTTAAGAAGTCTGAAACCATTTATTATCTCCTCTCACTTATTGCTCAGTCTTCAGAGGTTGGGCCGAAAATGCTGACTTTTCAAAGTCAAAAAGATGGGCCAACATTAACCCGCCAAGTCAACATTAGTAAACGGAGAATTTGTAGAATATAAGTGCAGAGCTCAGGCCCATTGATCTCTAATTTGCAAAGGAAACCACGTGCAGCCTGCGGTGGGCAAGAACTTTGGTCCTTCCTATTATTAAATGGCTGGTCTTCCAAAGAATTCTAACCTAATTGCATGGCGTAGATTTGCTTGTTTTTTTTTTTTTTTTTCCAAATATTTAATGAATAACAATGGACAGTTCATGTTCAAATTTAACACAACACCGCATGCGACAGTGCACTGCTCTCGGACTCCTGGCTCCTCTTGTCCTGGCCTACAACAGAAGGGTAGATAGCCTCAAAGTGATGACACTTACAAGATGTTTGTCAAAGACACTTTGACTCTCAAATCAGCTTATTGATTAAAAAGAGCAAGTGGAGAGGCAGAGGTTAGACAAGGGGAGCATGCTCTTACTTGGTGAGTCAATAAGCTTGGTATTTATAGAGAACTATTGGGTATAGGTGGTGCTCAGATCCAACTCAAAACCTGGAGGGGACTCAGGTGTATGGTTATACCCATGTCTAAGATCACATGACACACGTCACGTCCCCATTGGTTGGGTGCCTTGCAGCAGGGATTACAAAGAGGATGTCATGTGGCAGTTGTTGGCTAATTGGCCACTTATCTTGCTCGGTAACTCTGTGTTAGGTAGGCTTTGGTTCAGTTCGACGACTGGCAATCCTAATTAGATTAGGTCTTATGTATGGTCGGACACTAGCTTGGTTGGCCTAGCTGAACTACTCTTATGTGCTCCCAAACCTAGTCGAACTCGACCTAGTAGGCCTACTCTTCAGGTGGTCTCGAAACGTAGTCAAATTACTCTTTAGGTGTTCTTGGACCTAGTCATACACTAGCCTGGTCGGCCTAGTCGACCTACACTTCAGGAGGTCATAGACCTGATCAGACATGGCCTAGTCAGTCTAATCGAACTACTCTTCAAGTGATCTTGGACCTCGTCGGACACTAGCATGGTCGATTTGGTCAGCCTACTCTTTAATTGGGCCTCGATCTAGTCGTACACTAGCTGATCAGTTTAGTCAGGCTACTCTTCAGACTTGTGGTCCGTTTAGTTCGCTGATTTAAGTTTTTAATTCAAGTTGAGATGTGACTTTGTGTGAGAGCTTTTTATTGTAACTAAAAAATTAGATGTGATTTGTTTTTTAAGCTTTTTACTGTAACAAAACTCGAATTCTAAACTCAAATCGGTGAAGTGAATGAGACCTTGATCTGGTCGAACTCTTGGTTGACTAGTCTCGACAAATGTCATGTGACCTAATAGAGTAAGTTGAGTTACTCTCACAAGAAGTGAACCCCACCTGGTGGGAGAGAGAGCTACTCATCCCCGTCGGGTTGGGCAGGATCACTCTTGGAAAATGACGTCTGTTGAGCATTGGTGACCGTTGTTTTGCTGTAGGTAAGCAAAAGTGCCATGTGGTTCTGAAACTATGATTATACTTGAGAAACTACCATTACAAATGTTTTCAGTGTTCACAACAGGCATGATGAGGACAAGGCATTCCAACTTTTTTCTTTTTTCTTTTCTATGGGGGAAACGTAAGGCATTGGAACTATTGGTACTTATGTAATAGAGAATTAGATCGAAGCCTCATTTTACTAAGAGACGAAAGTTTACATAAAGAAGAATGTTTTCTTTTAACTATCCACATTTTTCTTTTCCTGAGAATCAGTATATATTGACTCTAAATAATATGATTATATTCAGTGTCGTTTTTCCAATGGAATATCTAGATTTGTTGGCTTCACTTTGATGGTTAATTGAAGTATGAAGACCAGCTTAGTTCAGGTTGATCTTATAGGTCTGTCTTCAGAACAAAGTTAATGCAATGAGCATTGAGCATTTTTCATAAAATCAACCTAATGCAATGAGCCTAACGTCGTGGTTCCAACCAAGAGTCTCGTTGAAAAGAGAACGAAGCAAAGATAATAAATTGGAGAAGAGAAATTAAAGAAATCCACATTTAAAGGTATACAAATTCAACCAGGTGACCCCAAAATAATCACATGTTTCACTTGACTCGTAAAAAAAAAAAAAAAAAAAAAAAAAAACAATCGTGCATGTTTCTGTTAGTGTATGTCTAGATCTCAACGAGGTTCCAAAGAAACCATGCAAATAATTAAACTATGAAAAACAAAATTCAGCCCACATTTCCCGTGTGAAGAAAGCTACCAAGCACTGTAAAGTTAAACTAGCTCCATCCCCTTGTAGTGCACAATGGAAACTTCTACACTCAAAGGCAACCTTTATGAAGTTACTTTCACCATAATAGCCTTCCACATACGTTTTAATAGCCATCAATCAATAAGATCACAGTTCTGCAGAGAAGGTACCAGTTTACAAGAAACCAGCATACTTCAGATCCAACTTTGCCCAACATGCACAGTTGCATTTATACTTTTCATGGCCTGCAAAAGATATCCCAAAAGCATGCATCAGAATACTATAAAAATATTAAGTTAAAGCTACCCAACTTGTGTGGGTGTCTAACTTGGATAGTGAAACACTCCTTCAGAAGAAAAATATATAAATAAATCCCAATAAAAATAAATACACACCCTCCACATTAAGAAGGCAAGCAATATTGGCCGATTCACATCCCACAACATGAGTTATTGCTACGAAAATTCGAACCATGTTTATAACATTCCCATGATTTCTTGACATATCAAGTTTTGGTTCTTGATTCTACACAATTGATTTAAAACGGATATGCCCTTTCATTTGTTACAAGTTTCCGTTCGCGTATACCTATTCAATTAAGGTTTCACTGACAGTTGAAACGTTGATATTTATTTATTTATTTCTTTTGGTGCTAAAGAAAATGTTAACAATTGACAACAAATTGTATTAAAGAAGAATAAAAAAGAGATCCATGAAAAGTTGATATAGCAACAACCATTCTAGCTACTATACAGACTACGGCAACTTATACACTGGAAATTACGAACCAGATGCAATTAGCCGAGAAAACTTTAAAAGCATACTTAGGAACTTCCTCAGGCAATCAAATCAATGTCTGTAAAGGCCATGCAACGACTTCTCTCTCTCTTCAACTCTTTTCTTTGCAGCCACCCTTGCTTTAAGCGCAGCTGCTTCTTCTTTAGATACAGCCTTTGGCTTCTCATCTGGCCTCTTTCTCTTGCCAACAGTAAGTGATGAAGGAGCACCTTTAACAGATCTCTTGGGGTTTACAGAACCTGAAACAACTGGCCCGGGTGGAGCCCCATTTTGACCTTTAGCAGCAGTTTTGTTTTCTTTAACTAGTCCCAACTCTGAAGATGACACTGGCTTTTTCAAAGTTTTTTCTTTATGTCCAGCATTTGATGAAAACTGAGGTGTTGCATAGGCCTCTTCCTGTGTCACCCACTTGCCTGTAAAGCACTTATTAAAAATGCCGTTACAACACATTCTAGGAGGATACCTTCAAGAAAACGAATTTAAGACATAATTAGAAATTAAACTCAATCTATACCTATAGTATCGGAATAGTAGAAGCCTGACTTTGAATCGTAGTAAAAACCATTGGTCTGATTGTAGTAATAACCTGAAGTGCTGTCATACTCCCATTCTGTCATCATTCAGAGCTGTTTCAGTTTAAGCAGTAATGGAATCAAAATGAAACCAGTCTTATTTAAATTGCTAGGACATTGCAAAACTAATTTTTCCAACTCATTTTGAGATTGTAAAGTTACCCTCTTGACCATCTATATCTAATGCATGTGAATCTCGGGCATCCTTAAGGTTTGTCATGTCCTTCTGATAGCTGCGCCTTGCTTTCTGTAAACATTATGACCAGTAATCAGCATCTATAACATTGGCATTATTCAATGTGATGTGCCTCACAAAATTTTTTCTTTTACGAACGACCTTCGTTGCATTTACCTTCCGAGGAGGAAATATCACCTTACTAGTAACTATTCGTATCATTTAAGGCCAAAAATATTATCTTTTTGTACTATCTTCGTACATCCTTCCTATGGTCAGAAAATTATTTAAAATTTTACTCCTTCAATGACCATTAAAAACACCACGGCATTGTCACAACTCCCTAAAGACCAAAGCAGTGTCCCTCAAACCACTCTTAGTTGTCCTTGATTGATTTAAGTTACATGCCTAGCTCATGCACTTCTAATATTTTCAATTAATTTCACACCTAAAACAATCTCAACATGCAATCTGATCTCTTAGTTATATTACTCAATTGTCATTAACAAACGCGCAAACTAATAAAAAAGGCCACAATTTCCGAACATGTCGTCACCAGGAAAGAATACGGTTATTATAAACCTATACCATTTTCAAAACTACATCGAACTGCTAGCCACTACAAATTACCAGAATTACCACCTTAAAGCTCTCAATAATAGTCATAAACAAAGCCATATGTGTTTAATACTCACTGCTTCTATTTGCTCAAGGAGTCGCGCCGCTTCTTTTTCTTCTTTCTCCTTAGCAGCCTTCTCTTTCCGCATATCAGCAAGCCTCTTCGCCACATTATCTTTGTGACGCTGACCGAGCTCATGATTCCTAATGCTAGCGGGGTTATTTGATAAGTAGATCTTGCAGAAGTCACACCATTTGTTACCCTGGCTAACCCAATACTGCAGCAAACGGACAACGGAAAGGGGAAAATAAATAAATAAATAAATAAATAAATAAACGCCAATAACAAGAAAAGAAATTGAATGAGTTGTAATACTGACTGAACAAATTCATTCTACATTTCCAAATTCCAATTAACAGAATGAAAAATTTTCCTACTAAGAATACTAGAACAGTATTGAAATTTCCTTGCCTGAGTACATAAAAAACCCTAATTCCTGCATTGGAACATAGCAAAAATATCCCTTTCAAGTTCTAAGATTTGAGACCAGATTTCAACAACTGCTAAGAAGTTCTTCCTTCTACCAAGAACCCAATTCAAGAAAAACCCAAACTTTCCCCCAAATCAAACCCAATTCATATTTTCTCTCAACACATACACGAATTTATTAGGTTTAGCTACTCCAAGAGCAAAAATAGGAAAAAGGAGCAATCTTTACCAGAAGCTTGAAAGTCGGAATTGAGAATCCAAAGTGGAGAGAATGGGGGGAAAATACCTCAGTCATGGTTGCCAAAAATCAGACCGTTAGAGCCGTAATAAGGAGCTTGCAAAGCAAGTAATTCGAAAATCGGTGGATGCGTTGTTTACTGCCTGTTGCCCTTGTCACAGCCACAGGTCAGAAGAAACGTCTGATTCGAATCGCTATCGTATGTGCGCACATCGGCAACTTCCGAGTTTTGCGGTCAATGAAACGTCGCCGCGACGGCGGCGGGGATGGTCAGGCGCGTTGTGGCCGGTGGTCCTTGCAACTTTGCTCTGGGTGTTGGCTTTGGCCTTTGGCTATTTGGGGGGGGATGTATTGCGGGTGATTTTGATTTAGGAAAATGCCTCTAAAAGTTCTACTCAGTTTCGTACCTTTAGAACTTATAAGTTTTGGTGCATACCGTTGAGTTTAATGAATTTGATTGAGTGTCCAAAAATACCTTTTTCCTAAAATAATAAACATTAAAAGAAAAGAGCGCAAAAAAATTTAAACAAAAAAAAAAAAACGTGAAATATCTTCTCGTTCAAGAAAGAATGAGAGAAAGAGGGGAGGTTCTCATTTTTTATCCTATACACTAGAGAGATTACTACCTATACGAGTCGGTTTTTGATCAACTAAGCATCTAAATGCGGTGAAAATTTGTCCATTTTACTCACTTTATGGAGGTTCTACATTCAAAAATAAACTCTTGAAGTTAGAGATTTGAAGGTATATTAATATCTAATTTAATTTAGCTTTTTGCTTTAAATTTTTGTTTAAAACATGGTTTTTTTTTTTGTGTTTTTTCATTCATAGTATTATATGTCGAAAAATTAGACCAGTTTTTGCTTTTAGGGATTAAATTTTGTGATTTTTAAGATAAAAAATCGAGGTTAAAGATGCACCAATGATCTCCACTGCATTCGGTAGAGATCTCAACTGCGTAGTAAAGATTCTACTGAAAACAACAATACATCTTAAAGGGTAGTAGAGTTTCACTGTGAATTACACTATAATTCAAGGTGTTTGGGGCTTATTGCTTGTTAGATTATTCATATCCAAAGTAAATTGGATTGTATAGATTTAGACGGTAAAGATTTTTTAAGGATCATAAATTATTGATGGTTAATCTTTATTTATTTAGTGTATGATTTGAGAGTTTATGCTTATAGGTAAAAGTTTGGCATTTTTGTACTGCAATGTTAATCATAAGTTATGGAAAGTGAATGTGCTATAGTTTTCATTAGTTGATTTATTGTTTGAATGGTTTAAATTCATTTTTAAACTTGTTACCTTATCTTATATTCATTGTCTCATGTAATATATTTTTAATTATTTTTTTTAGGAATTGACTCGAACAACAATCATGGTTTGTTACGGTGAAGAGTAGAAGAAAGAGAAAGGCTCGCACCAATGGTTTAATGAAAATAATGATGAGGTTATTGTTATTGTTATTGATATAAAGATTAAGTTTGCAGACTTGGTTGACAAATTGTACGAAAATAATGATGAGGCTATTGTTATTATTATTGATTTTGTTGTCCATTATAGATACTCTACCGGGCAGTAAACATGTATTATTGAAGTCGAGTTACTCTACTAAGTAGTAGATATTTTACTAACCAAGTCTACCAAATAGTGGAGTACATCTACCGCACAATCGAGCATGTTATAAACTTAACTAATAAAGTATTTTAATTCATTAAAAAACATTTTGCACCTTAATTACTAGTGCTTACATTTAAAAAAAAAACCTATTTACTTAATTTATCAAGTTAGAATTTTCAAAGTTTTACCTTAGTTGTTAGTGTCTGATTTTGTTGTCCATTATAGATACTCTACCGGGCAGTAAACATGTATTACTGAAGTCGAGTTACTCTACTAAGTAGTAGATATTTTACTAACCAAGTCTACCAAATAGTGGAGTACATGTACTGCACAATCGAGCCTGTTATAAACTTAACTAATAAAGTATTTTAATTTATTAAAAAACATTTTGCACCTTAATTACTAGTGCTTACATTTAAAAAAAAAAACCTATTTACTTAATTTATCAAGTTAGAATTTTCAAAGTTTTACCTTAGTTGTTAGTGTCTCATTAAGTCGGGTTTTTTTAATGTAATTTCATATATTTGGTTCGAATAATCAATACGACCAATTAATTAGTAATATAATCCAAGAAAAATTAAATTTAACCAAGTTTTTAACTAAAAAAAGCAAGTGAAAGTATACTTTACTGTCCAATCAAGATACTCTATCGAACAGTAGAGAGCTTTACTACTCGAATCTACCGTCTACCGCACAGTCGAGCCCATTATGAATTTAATTAATAAGCTATTTTAATTCATTAAAAAAATTTTGCACCTTAATTACTAGTGCTTACATTTAAAATTAAAACAAAAAACTATTTACTTAGTATACTATGTTAGAATTTTCAAATTGTCACCTTAGTTGTTGATATCTTGATGGATAACTTTGATTAATATAGCTTACTAAATTGAGCATAAACAATGAGCCTCTTAAGAAGTAGTGCTATTAAGTTATTTTTTTTAACGTAATTTCATATATTTGGTGCGGATAATCGATGCAACCAATTAATTAGCAATATTATCCAAGAAAAATTAAATTTAACCAAGTTTTTAACTAAAAAAAGCAAGTGAAATTTGACTCTATTAACTAGTCGAGATACTATACCGAGTAGTAGAAAGTTTTACTACGGGAGTCTATCATACAGTATAGAGTGTCTACTGCACAGTCGAGCCCGTTATAAATTTAATTAATAAGGTATTTTAATTCATTTAAAAATATTTTGCAACTTAATTATTAGTGGTTACATTTAAAATAAATAAAAAAAACCTATTTACTTAGTGGCTGTTTAGTATAATGATTCTGAACTTGGAATCAAAATCAGTGTTTGTTTACAACAAATAAAAAGTGGTTCTGATTTGACTTATCCAGAATTAGTGTTTGGTTTAGATGGTTCTGATTCAATGTTTGAACTCTGATGTGATGTTTTAAACCATGAATCACCTATGATTCTAAAACTACCCACCCGCTTGGTTTTTGGTGGCTCAAACTCTTAATTCTGGTTCAGGTTTCAGAACTATGATTTGGATCCAAAATCATGAATCATGGTTATGGTTCTAAAATCAAAACTAGAATTACCTTGATTTGAACCCTCATACCAAACGAACCATTAGTTTATCAAGTTAGAATTTTCAAATTTTCACCTTAGTTATTGTTGTCTTGATGGATAACTTTGATTAACATAACTTACTAAATTGAGCATAAACAATGAGCCCCTTAAGTAATAGTGCTATAAAGTTGGTTTTTTACGTAATTTTATATATTTGGTGCAAATAATCAATGCGACCAATTAATTAGTAATATTATCCAAGAAAAATTAAATTTAACCAACTTTTTTAACTAAAAAAAGTAAGTGAAAGTCTACTCAACTGACCAGTCAAGATACTCTACCAAGCAGTAAAGAGCTTTATTTCTCGAGACTACCAAACAATAGAGTAACAGTCGAGCCCGTTATAAATTTAATTAATAAGGTACTTTAATTCATTAAAAAACGTTTTGCACCTTAATTAATGCTTACATTTAAAATAACAAAGTTATTTATTTTATTTGTCAAGTTAGAATTTTTGAAGTTTCACCTTAGTTGTTAGTGTCTTGATGGATAACTTTAATCAACGTAGCTTAACTAAAGTGAGGAGACACAATGAGTCCCTTAAGTAGTAGTGCATTAAGTTGGTTTTTTTGATGTAATTTCATTACTTTGGTGCGAATGATAAATGCAACCAATTAATTAGTAATATTATACAAAAAAAAATTAAATTAAACCGAATGTTTTAACTAAAATAAAAAAAACAAGTGAAAAACCAGTCGAAATACTCTACCAAGCAATAGAAAACTTTACTACTCAAATCTAAGCAGTAGAATACCTCTACCGCACATTAATTCATTAAAAAACATTTTGCACCTTAATTACTAGTGCTTACATGTAAAATAACAAAACTACTGACTTCGTTTACCAAGTTAGAATATTTGAAGTTTCATCTTAATTTTTAGTAGAGAGTTTTAATACTCAAGTCTACCGTACAATAGACTATATCTACTGCACAGTCGAGCTTGTTATCCTTTTGAATTAAAAATTACATGTAACTCACATCAATAAAAATTTATAATACCTAATCAACATTTCTCATAAGAATTCGCAAAATTTATATCCTCAAAACTGTTTACATCCTCAAAATGATACGACAACATTTCTCATAAAGAATTCACAAAAATTTATAATACCTAATCAATTTAACAATGTGTAGAGGAATATGAATAATAATGATACTAATACAAATATTTCTTAAGGGTTCCAATCATAAAAAAAAATTGTCAATGGCCATCTTTTGTCTGAAGAACGGAATGGTGTCATCTCTGAGCACATCGAAACCAAGCCTGCAGAGTCCAACTCGATATATTTAATTGCATATATTGCACAATTTCTGCTGTTTAAAATTTAGTTAGTAATTACAATAACCAATAGATATGAAAAAGTACCAATAAAAGCAAGACTGAAATATATATTAGGGCCAAACTAATCAAAACTAGTAAAGATTATGGGTTGGGTTCAAAACTACTTCATCAACCTTTAAAAAAAATATATCATAGAAGTACTAAAACTAGTTTTTGTGAGATAGTTTACATTTTTCATTTTTGGAGTATATTCTAAATTCTGACTAATTATGTATGCTAATGTGGTCAAACAAAAGGCATCTCTAAGTACTAAAAACCAAAACACATATTGACTATTTTTTTTCCCTCAAGAAGACACAAGTAGATTAGTAATCCATTTAAGCAAGCCACTAAATAAACTGATGCGTACTATTCCTTCAAAAAGAACCATCAGAAAGTGCAAGCATAAAAATCAAAATACTTATGATGTGATAAACCTGTAGGCATCAAGATTACATGAGCATGTCCAAATATTCTAAACAGAAAACACTACAGCTAACAGCCATCAATCCTACCATGGAATAATATTACACGAACATTTACAACAAAAAATCATAATAATCAATAAAATGACCATATATAAGTCAAAAGCAATGAAACGCAAGCTTTCTCACCGGAAATTGATCAAACAAAATCTGCTAATAGTTTGACATAAATTCAATTCTAATTGCTTTACCTTTTCAATAATACAGTAGTCAAGGCACCTAGATTCATTCACAAACCAAAATTCCAAAATTGAAACCTTTCTTTCATTTTGTCATTTTTTTCCTCTCATATCTCAATGTTTCAAAGCAAACACCCCCATCAATGAATGGAACTAAATACAAACGAGAATATATTCAAACTGTGC